TATATATATATATATATATATAGCAATAAATAAATTAAAAAGAAGACTAATAAATCCTAAAACATCTCCAGATCAAACCAAAAGAACCAAAAACATGGAACCATTACAAACCAAAAAAGAAATTTAGCTAGAGTGGAAAATAATATTATGATTTCCCGAGCTGTCACTGGCTTAGGACAGTGAGACAGGGTTAAACAGTGTTTTGTGATATCTCAACCTTCCCCTACAGCGGAAATTTTCGACATAATAGCACATGAGATAATCCAAGGTTAAGGCCCAAAACCCACGTGGGTGAATATAACAGCAATAGAATAGAATTGGAATAATAAATTATATATATATATATGTATATGTATATATATATAGAGAGAGAGAGAGTGGAGAGTGTGTGTGAACTAATAGTAGGAATTGAATAATCAGGATGACGAGATTTTAATCTATTAAATCTTTACTATAATTCAATACAGTTACAAAAATAAAATGTATGAATACATTTTACTTCTTCTAAAATTAAAATGCAAGTAAGTTGTTCTATCAACAGATTTTCCTTACGCTCACTCTTATAATTGGAATTATGTATAATCAAAGGTTTCAATGCGGAGGAAGCATCTACATTTCCTGACAGAGATCTTTTTATTGTAATTTCTTTACTGAGACATTCAATTGGAGATTCACTTTTAGTTTAATATATAACTGTACTTATATTTTTTTAAATATATTTATTTAGCTAGTTCTATATCTAGCTAAGTTGTTATTCAGTTGTACGCGCGAAATAAAAAGAATCTATAGATATTTATTCTAAAATTTATTTGCGAAACATAGAAAAATATAGCTAAGAAAGATAAATTAAAGAAATATTTCATATTTTGGTGGTTTAATAGGGGTATTTCCTGTAACCAATAGTGTAACCAAAATCAACAGGATGAATGCATGTTCATCAATCATTCTGCTTAACGAGAGACATATCTAAACCACTATCTTTTCTGATAACGATCTGCAATGTAAATAAACGGAAGTGTCAATTAAGAATTACAAACTAATAATTCAAGTCCTTTTTAAAGACCTTCTCTCATGTCCTCAATTTTCAGTTTTATTTCGTTCCGAAAAGGGACAGGGAAAAGGATTGTACAGAAATTTTACTTAATCACTAGTTTCATACCCATATGAAAGGCAACCGCAATATCAATGATACGGGGCCCCAACATATGTAAGGAGAAAAAAAAGTGTGTGTGTACTTATGTACGCACGTAAGAAGTTATACTTCTTTGGCGTAACAAGATTAAAATCTTTCTAAAAATCTTTAGCAGGGCAAGCTGGGTCAAGGACTAAAGGCGGTCACGATCAGAGTTGAACGATACTAACCTTCAATCTCTCAATCGGAACAGCCAAACCTGAGATAATCACGATTTAAATAAATTTAAACACCCCCGCCAATAATATGGACCAATAATATGGGAAGGGGGTCGAAGGCGGGAATGATCTGTCCCGTTCTGCATATTTTAAGACAAAGCATTTTTGTATCCGTTCCTACGGAACGCAAAGCAAAGGTTCGCTGACGCGGAGGTGTAGCTCAGTGGTAGAGCATTCGACTGTTAATCGAGAGGTCCCTGGTTCAAACCGAGGTACCCCTTCTTCAGGGAAGTGAAGCGAAGTATTTTTTTGATAAATTCGAAGGCGGGAATTATCTGTCCCGTTCTGTATATTTCTAGGCAAAGTATTTTCGTATCCGTTCCTACGGAAAGCAAAGGCTCGCTGGCGCGGGGGGGTATAGCGCAGTGGTAGAGTGTTCGACTGCAGATCGAGAGGTCCTCGGTTCAAACCCAGGTGTCCTCTTCTTCAGGAAAGTGAAGAGGAATATTTTTTTTTGAGGATTTCGAAGGCGGCAATGATCTGTCCCGTTTTGTATATTTCTAGACATAAAATTACAAAATTCACCTTCAGCCTATTTCTCTAACGCCCCAAAAGAAGTATAACTTCAAAAACCGTAACATTTTAAGGAGCCCCTCAAAAAGGGCGTCCTTCCTACGCCAATGCCCATACCTTCAGTATACGCCTATCGAAGCTTAAAAATCCTTGTTATAAACATTATTTACTCTTCTAAACTTCTTTAATATATATATGTACATATATATAGCCCTCGGATGTAGCTTTATAGTGCGACATTAATGTAATTCACGCTCTCACTCATATATAAATGAAAGAATAACTAAATTTTAAAAAAAAAATCTCTTATTTACCATTCAACTTTTATTTTCCATAACATAGTCGAGTCTTAAATTAAGCTCCTAATTATTTCTCAGAAAAAATATTCTAAAGATAACCATTCCAATCCCAGCTCATTAAATTTTATGTGGTCTTAGTATATAAGCTTCGGTGGTTTACTTTCCAATCGAAAACATAAACTAAAAAGTGTTATTTAACAGTTCTAGAAACAAGTATTCAGCCAAATTAATTTTTTCGGTTCCCTCATTTGGTGTTCGTTTCTCTCAATAAGAGGATGTGTTGATCACTGGATGAATAAATCTGTTCTTTACAAAAAGTTCTCGATGCTGACTTGAAACATCACACACACACACATATATATATATAAACATTAGGAAATTCCTAGTCATATTCGAATAGAATATACTCATATTTCTATGTGATATTGGATTTGTGCTAAATCTTATCACAAATCTAATGTGATTGTGTTAAGTAGCTGCTGTATTCTACAAATCCACTTAGGATTACTGTTGGATTCCAAGAAATGCTTAATGCACTACATAAAGATTATCATTGTACCAAAAGTACCTGTCAAACACCTGGTGAAAGCTGCATGTGGCTTCTCGAAAAAAGACTCGAAATATTCTTTGGAAAAGAAAAGGATTCCTTGAAAGGGGAGTAGTTCTTTAGTAAAACTTAAATCACTTGAGATAAAACTAAGAATTTACACTGAAGGTATTTCAGCGATAAAGAAATAATGGGATAGAATTTTAAAAACTTACACATTCAAACACAATACTGCCTCAGACACGAAGAAGTATTTCTTAAGGATATTTTGTTATAAGCGGATCAAATCTGAAAAAATGTAATTTCAAGTTATTATATTTCATTAGAGAATAATTAATTAAAATTATTTAAACGAGTTTCTTAATAGTATTTTTAAGTATTAAATATGTTGGCACCTACGCATCAACAACTGAATATTATGTTAGGAAATTTCCATCTTTAAATTAATTATTCGTAACCAGTGGCGCACACAAGCGGGGGGGGGGGGGCCGGGGGGGCCCGGCCCCCCCCCCAAAAAAAACCCTTTGATTATTTTTCTGATTGACTATAATTCTAAGTATATAGTACGTAAAATTTAATTAAGTATTTGTTATTAATGATTAGTTTTACTAATTAATGCTAATTATTTATTCAATAATTAGTTTTTAACTGTGTTTTGTTCCCCCAAATCGACAAAATCAAAAGGAGCATAATGCAAGAATGGTTAACTTTCGACCCCGGACCCCCCCTTGAAAAATTCCTGTGTGAGCTACTGTGTTCGTAACTTACTCCCTTCTACATATTATTTTTAAACGATTTCTTTAGGTATATTTCAAATTGGGTTAGGAAGCAAACTGTTTTCTTAGTTTTTAAATAATTTCAGCAAAAAAAACATGAATTTTAAAAATAAATATACGCTGCTTTAATAACTTATCTAGCAAATAACATAATAAACACACAGTGTTAATGTATAAGGTATAGTGTGAGAAAAAATCACTAAAAAAAGTTCACATGCCGAATTCGGAACTAGCTATATATGTCTTATTTTAAACATTCCAAGAAGATAAAGGCTGAAATCCCCCCCTTCTCTCCTTCCCAAAACTTTAACACACACATATGTACATTGTGTTTGAGTTCTTATCGCGTCAGCGTTTCCCTAATCATCAGCAAACTCTCAGTGCTATTCAAAAACACATTTTCTTAAGTAGGCTCTGTGCATTATGTGTGTTATTTACAGTATTTGGACTCATTACCATGGAATGTTGTGTTATTTTATTCTGAGAACGTGTTATATTTATGACCCTGTTCCTACGGTTCATGTTTGAACAAAGCCGATGATTCGAACGCCTAAACTTGTAATAAATACACTCAACTCTTTTTTACATGATTTTGAAATAACGCTGTACATAAATTTAACGAATTTTTTTGTCTTAGCATAAATTCCAAAAGAAGTTTACTGACTAGTGCCCTTTGGATGAGGACGATTTGAAGGAGTTTAAGACAGTTTATAATAATAAAGAAGTCACACACACAATACTGTGGCGAAGGCGAAGGTGAAGTTCAGTTAAGAGCTGATTTAATTCGCGAGGGCTTGAAATTGGCTACAAGTATGGAACAACATTTTCTTACTCATGGCATACAGCGTGTATTTAAATTTCTGCGTAATCGTGTGCATTACAAAATATCAAGAATTCTATAATCAACTTGAGAAACCACAAAGACAGCCGCTAATAAGGCTATGTAACAACAAAAAAACCAATAGAGGAGTTAATAACGAACGAAATTCTTCATTTGAACCAAAACCGACAGTTATGCTAGCACTGTCGTAGCTAGTCCTGAATGGGCCCAGTATCAAAATTCCTTGGGGGACCCTTTTGGCCCCCCTTTAACATTTTAGGATTGTTTTGCTTACACATTTGGGAGTCTCTTAAGCTTGGGGGCCCCGTATTATTGATACGGCGGTAGCTATGCCCGTGTGTGCTAGACATATCTGACACATCCTCTATTGATAGCATTTTTGATCCAATTCGTAATAAACATGCACGCTTGTTATCAAGTAGCGATGAATAATTGTTAGTAGTTTTTTTTTATTCCTAGTTTCAGATTGAATTTTTATATGTTGTATTTACTCACAGACTGAATTGTCACTGAACATTAATTTTAATTTTTATTTGTAACAGAGATGAATTGTTTTTGTTTCTTAAATATGTAACATGAATTTTATTATTACTTTTTTTGCACGGTTTGGGGGGGAAATATTTAGAGATTTTTCATTTTGCCTGATTTTTTAAAATTGTGGAACATATCCTCAAATTTACTAGATGTCACTTGAACTTTTTTACACGGTTTTCTAAGGAATGTGTTTATGGCGTAAAAAAAATTTGGTTGTATAATGATTCTTGGGCAGGTGCGTAGCTACCACCGTATCAATGATACGGGGCCCCCAAGTTAAAAGGGCCCTAACATGAGTAATTAAGAGTCCAACTAACAGGCCTCCCCAATCTAAAAAAGGGCCCCCTCAGAGCTATCTACGCCAGTGTTCTTGGGCAGATGATTCATCACATAACACAAATCATTATTCATTTTTTAAAAATCATTCCAATTTTAATATTTGTCGGGAACTCAATTATGTTCCGAAATTTTTAAATTAAAAAAAATAACTAAATGAATGTGAATCAGGTTAAAATGATTATAACTTTCCATATTTTTTGCTGTTTTTGGATGATATTTCTTTTAAATTAAAAGAATATAAAATCAGAATTGCGATATATACAAAAATCTTTCAATGTTTATAATAAACACACTAACATATTAAGATATAAATCATTAATTTAGCTATCATTAAGCATAGACTTGCTCGAATTCTTAGAGTCTCTTTTCTTTTCTCAGATTCACAGTTTCAACATTAAGTCTATACCACGCTCTCAAATGAATATTTATACTAAAGATCGAGAAGCCTGGAGGTCGTGAGAGATTATGTCGAGAGGCGAGATTCCGAGTAATAAACGACAGATTAATATTTTGTAATAAGAACAAGGTAGCAATTAAAGGAGTCCGGTTCTTAGTATAGAGATTAATGAAGACCTGGTGATTGTTCATCGTTGCGTGAACAAAATGAATAGAAAAAAAACAGTCTATGAGTATGAGTGATGATAACCAACGTTAGTGATGTTAACGTCTTTGCTTTATGTGCTTCCGCAGAACTTATGAATCTTGAGGAACCTGTAATGAACTCATGCGAATTAAAATCCAAGGTTAATTAATTAGACAAGGAGATGGGTGTCCATAAAGTTAACAGCGATTAATAACCTCTAATTTGCGGATATATAAAATGCATTAAATTATTTTGATATTTTTTTTTCCTTCCTCCATCATTATGTTGAAGTATTTTGCAGTTACTTTTGCAAGAAATTAAAAGGCTATAAAAGATACTGAAATTCATATTTTACTGAAATAAAATTTTTTATAAAAATCTTTTTTTCTCCAAAAAGGTAGGAGTGAATTTCTGAACGATAATTGAATAACACAATGGAACGTATTCCGAAAGGGATACAAGGACTAAAAAGATATTTCACGAGAAATTTGTGCGTTCTTTTTTTCCCTTCGTGTTATTTTTCATTCAATTAAAGAGGGGGAAATATTTGTAGAAATAAAATACGTAACTGTGATTTGATTTTACGTCGCACTTCAAAACAACACGAAGGCTATTGGTGACAAGCTTCGTAATTTTGAACTACGGGGTTAAGAAGACAAAAGCTGAGCTGGCGCTTCTTCTTTAAATTTCCACCCCACTCCAACGGGAGGACTTCGAGCTTTGACATAATTTTTGCACATCAGCCTCTCCACATGGCGGATCTTCAGTGGCGATAACCCTCGTCCAATAACGCC